CTAGTGTGTATCGAGTGGACCTTAAACCCCATTTCTCTCTCTCTCTCTCTCTCCCATACATGCTTGTAGTGCTACCAAAAATCTAATGACATTATGTGCTATGACATTTCATTTCATTTCCATAGGAAAATATAAAGTCTGTTATTATTGTCATAAACTTTTTTGAACTGTCTTATCGGAAGACAAAATCCACTTACATTAAGTTAACGTGGATTATGATATAGAGTAAGTGGTGAAATAACCCAATTTTTAAAATCATGACTGCCAGAAATAGATGAATATCGTGATGATTTATTGTTCGGAGCGGGAAAATTAATTCCTCTCCAGACACATCTATCTTTTACTTTAATTCATCTTCATGCGGGATTCCAATCGAATCTGTCCGAAAAAATACCGATGGACAATACTAAAATCAATCCTGATATCTGCTTTCATTAGCAGTGACTTACGTTGATGACAGCGACAACCCTAAAGTGTATACAAAGTAATTACTGATTGGTTCACAGCAGTATAAAGGTCTTCATTGATTGGCGAAAGTCAGACAATAGAAGGTCAATGATTGGATAAAGGAGTCAAAGTTTTCAGACAGATGAGATTAAAAAGAGACATATATTGTCGACTGCAGATTTAAGTAATTTCGTGATATTTTTCCTAAATGAAGTTTTTCACCGAGACGATTTTATTGATGCTTGATGTCTGCCATTGAATATAAAGGATTGCTACATGCTCTTCATACAGAGACATCCAAATTGTTCCCAAAATAAAAGGTCAGACATTTAGCCATAAATTGATATGGCTTCTATTGAATGGAAGAGTCATCAGAAGTATTTACGTACCTATAAACATTTTGATAAGTTATAGTACAGGGTAATTGTGTGATTGTTCCAATCCTCTTGATTATTGATTTCAATGGATACATTTTCCACTAACACACCCATGAAATAAAGAATGATTTCTAGTTCTATTGTTAAAATGTGACACTTTATTAAAGGCACAATATCCATACAAAAAAAGGCAAATATAGCTTAGACCATACGCAATATAAAGGAGGCTTACCTAAAAATATATTGGTCCAAAATTATCAAATCTCACCTTAATTTACTTTCTATTGATTTCACACCACCATCTTTATTATGTTACAATCATCTGTAAACTACTGAATCATAACTTATTTCTATCCATGGATATCAAGCTCATGAAGTCCACATCTATTGATTTCATACCTCCATCCTTTTTGTCTTTAGGACTTTGAACGACTGGAGGACAACTTATGTTCAGCAGAATTCACAACATAAGCATGTATTAGCACACACATATACTAGGATAAGAGTTAGAATAATGTTATGAATTCTGCTCCATATGATGGTATTTAGACTAGAGTCCTTTGTCTAAATTGTCTTAATTTCTATTTCAAGAACACATACACTAATCAGCGATTTACCTTCTGGTGTATTGCAGATTCAATTTCCGGAAGACAATTGAGGATGCTAATTAATGTGGACAAGTGCCGTTGTTTTTAAATAGGATCATTTGATTTTTTAGCAGATTTTCTAAACAACTTATTCATTTTTATCACTTGTCCATGTTATTACACTAGCATTCTCAATTAGAATTATCATTAATTTTTTATTTTTCCAATAATCAATATGATCATAACAATCGTAACAATTGAATGTAACCAAGTACATATTATTGGCCTATATATAATGTACTTAAATATTCTATTGATAAAACAAGTACAAGTGTACTATGGACCCGAAACCGAGCATGACGTCATCGACCATCTTGGAATTATGACGTAATAATATCAAAAAGCTGTCAGTAGATGTACAATTGTCCAAGGAACAATCTTGCCAATTTTCATACTGATCTTACTTCAATTGGCAGAGCCATTAGGTTTCCTTGAAGAGTGTTGCGCCCCCCCCCCCCCCCCCCCCCCCCGAAAAAATTTAGTTCCTAGTCCAAAAATCAAAATCAAGACTGGATCCCATCATAATTTCAATCATGATCATAATAATCATGAGGATTGAATGTTACCAATTACATATTGTAAGATTATATTTAATGTATTTTAAATAATCTGAACCCTCTGATTTTTGAACTACGACAACCTTTCTCTGGATTGTATCAAACATGAGGATTGATTGTGACCAAAATGTACATAATATAGACCTATATATAATGTACGTTTGATAAATAAAAATTAAGCCTGGACCCCATGATTTGTTAAAGTTGGAGAACACATCTCAGAAAGTTCGAATAGATATTTCTACATTTTGAGATCTAATTTTATAGGCAAATTAGATTACAATTCTTCTTGAGACGACATTTCAGCTGTGATAATATCCTATGAACAAAGTCAAATATTCATTTACGCGGTACCATAAATCACTGGGTTTCTGTCCATTTCTTTGGGGATGTCAGATTTATAGAAATGAGCTCTGACACAGGAGACTTCTTTACTTGTGTAAGAACTAAAGATATATGTATGTATCGGATAAAGCGGGTATTTAGTTTGAAGGCGATAAATGGCTGTTTTATCCCTCATAAACTTTCGGCTCCATTTATTTCACAGCCAATTTGATTGATTTCTTTGACGCGTGCCATTTAAGACAGTGTCTGATGTTTTTAGTTAACAGGTTGGTCGAAGCTGATAAACCATAATTTAAGCTTTACGTGAATTATCCGATTTCTGTAAGCTGTAAATTGGGGATATTTCTGTATATCATGAGATTTAAAGTGTTTTATTGAAATTGGCTCAGAATTTCGCGTCTGAGAAGTAGCATTATGTGAACCAATTGTCAACCCACAAAGGGATAGACAGAGCTAGGTCTCTAGTGCATTTTGTTGATGTTTGTAAGCGGACAATGTTTATTTTTGGTCTGTGGCATTAGATAATCTTCCGCGTGCCTATCATTATCAGATTGATCAAAATGGTAATAGTTATGGTGGTTGTTTGTTTGACGTTGTATTCTTAATAAAGAAAGAAAAATTAGGTCGTATTCTTAATAAGGAGAAATTTTTTAGCGCTTAGGGGTCTTTGGGAGGAAACCGGAGGACCTGGAGAAAGCCCTAGGTAGCTAGTCCTTTGGGATTAAAACCATGCCCACTTGAGTCAATGATCTGAAGCACACATGTTAGACCCCCCTCCCCCTCCCCACCCTTAATAAAGATGTATAAGAAGATTTAAAGGGTCATTTTCCTTTTCAGATCAAGAATTTTGTTATATAGCTGAAATAGGATCTTTCGTGAATGCCTCACATTTGTGATATGCCTTGAAGTGTATGTCACTCTTCACATACATTTGCCCCAATAACGTCAATCAAAGCTTACTGATAGTTTGGCAAATATTTATCAATGAGATTGCTAACTATATGACAATCAGGATTTGTAAACATTATTAACATTGTAATTCATTTCATGATTGATGCCTGTCACAAATATAATAAAAAGAAATGAAATTTGGATCATGTGTAGTTTCTGAAAGTCTTCAGCAGCTATACAATCTGACCTTTTAACCTTTGTACATCAAATCACCAGGGAACGGAAGTTACGATTGGATGACAGGGAAACCGATTAACGGTTAAATTCTTCCTCTGGTCAAAGGCCACCAGTGGCGTATTAATTAGATCTTTTGTTCCAAGGGTTTGTCTGATTTAAACTAATGACCAATTGAGTGACCGTAAGTGACCACTGGATAATTAGATCCGTTACTTAGTGTAGAATGGAGCCCAAGGAAAAATCTAAGTATTTTCATGGATCTTATTATATGGGGGAATGAATTAGGTGTCTAGATGACTATAATTTTAGTACATTAAGACACTGATGTAGTGAATACATGGTACTTAGATGGCACAATAATGATGTCAGTCCTGGCAGACTGGGGAATCTTTTGCTAGCCCTGAAAAAAAATAGTGGACGTTAAACTCTCTCTCTCTCTCTCTCTCTCTCTCTCTCTCTCATAGATGGCACAATAATGATGTCAGTCCTGGCAGACTGGGGAATCTTTTGCTAGCCCTGAAAAAAACATAGTGGACGTTAAACTCTCTCTCTCTCTCTCTCTCTCTCTCATTTTCTTTTCTGTACAATTTATAACCAAATTTCATATTCAAGATATAATATTTGTTATCGGCAAGTAATGTTATTTATTTGTATGATGACTGTATATTTATGTAACAAATTGGAGTCTGTGAATCAGTCGGTGATGATTGACGAATGGTCAATATGAATAAATTGGGAATCGCAATGATTTCTACGAGGTCTAGAAAGTTATTGTTACTTGATCAAACAACCTTTCACCATGTTAATAAAATTTTATCAGCAAATACAGAAGACAAACTGAGCCTAATTGGATTGATTTAAGTCGTAACTTATGGATGGATTAGCAGCGGTTATTGTCCTCGTTAGTAGTAATATCGTCCAGTTAAGTTTAGTCGTTATGATTTCTTCATGGTCACTGGTTACAATGAACGACTTGTCCAGTGGCTTGAGTCATCTAATGACAGTATGAGGTCACTGACTGCGCAGAAATATAGATTCGTTATTCTTCAGTTCCGTAAAATTGTGGACTGTATGCCGGGTAATTGGGTGGATAAATCTTAAAGATTTTGTAATTCTGCTTTGTTTGTAGTGGAAGGAATTTTATTAAGGTGAAAATTTTAAACCAAAAAAGAACTAGTTGTAGATATCAAATAATGAAGAATTTGAGTCTTAAACTGTTGTAAATTAAGAAAATTCAAACCAGCTTTTGATCTGGTATTTACCCAGATTTACCAGCCTGTCCAGCCTTGATCTGCATCACTTTTAAGGGAGTGTTGCTGTTCTATCTCTCCCCCCGCCACATGTAAATGAGATAGCAGATCAAAGCTTTAAGCTGATTTCAATTTGCAGAAGACTAAATGACTTGATAGATCATTAACATTTATTATTCAGGAGTATCCACAGTATGTTAGTTTGTATATTAAATATGATTTAATATTTTATATTATTGTATATTTCAGGTTGATAACATCAATGCGTGTTTAAACTTCCTGTCTGGTCTGGGTGTCAGTGTGGATGGCATCAGTGCTAAAGGTGAGATTAAATGTTAATTGATTGTAATTATAGAGATTGACATCTTCACTAGCTTATGATGCATAGCACTTGTAAAATAACAAAAGTTAATAGCTCTTGCCTTCTGAATGGACAGTTATGAATATATAATGCATCTATAATGTATGTCAAAATTTTGCAAACAGCAATGTCATCTTGTGAATGTGTTAACAACATTCCAGATATTTTGGCTCTTCATACACTGACATGGAAATGCAGTCATATATTGTCATGAGACAAAGACACCACTGAAATTTAAAAAAATACTGTTAATTACTGCTACAATTATGGCCCTTGTTTCACTTCATAGAGGGTTGTGAACTCTCTAATGGTAAAAGTTATCATCCGATCTATATTGGGGGGTTTGATGGCTGAATGGTTAGCGTGCGCGCGCTGTATTATAAAGTCTGTCATTGAGTCGACTGGCGTGGTTGTACGTGGCAAGGAGTAGGGTCGCCTGTCCAACCTCGTGGGTTTTCTCCGGGTCCTCCGTTTTCCTCCCACTGCTAAAAACCCCTACGCGCAAGCGAATTATGTAAATAAAATTAAAACATATGTTAGTCCCGAAATGACCTAGTTTGTGTCGAGTGGACGTTAAATCCCATTTCTCTCTCTCTCCGATCTATATTAATTTGTATTTGAGGAATTGAAGACAGTTGATGAATATTGTGATAGTTAAAGGAAAATAGTATTGAAATGCAGGCAAAACAAAAATCTAGTCCTGATTTTTTTTTGTCTATTAAAATGCAGTAGCTACAATGATTATCACTGCTTATAACAAGAAATGACTTCTAAATTTGTATTTTTTAAGGGAAAAAACTCAGATGCTTAATGAGACCCCCAACTTGTGCGTAATTCTGGTATAAAGACCAGATCCGCGTCTGCTGCAAGTTATTATATTGGCTTGCTGTTTATATTATCTCTAATAACCAACACATGCTATCACCCCAACAAATCATAACTTTATGGATTCAAACCTAATTTGAATTTTTTTTTTCTATCCATATTTATGAAATTAACCTACATTGCTTAAGCAAGTCTCTAGAATTCAATTCTAATTTTAAAAATGTCATCGTAAATTAGAATCTTTTTCTTCATTTGCATAAAGATCAAGTTAAAGATGCATTATGTAAGATTTAGATAAAGTGCTGACAGTTCTCAATATAATAGTTGAAAAATAGATAATAAAAAGGAATATATTGAAAATTTCTTTCAAATTACTTTATTCTGAGTTATAGGTGTTGGAAGATGTAGTATATATTGTTTATTATCGTAAAAATGGTACTCGTTATTCGAGACTTAGCCCTGCTTAGCCATTTTTTAATTATATCAATAATCCGTTTAAATCTCACCCATTAGATAATTAATTATAGGCTTGTGAATAAATGTCTAATTAATAATTAATATAGCATTTGAATTCAAAATAGAGACTTGCAATAGGCAGATTTAGCTCTTATATAATGTGTCTTTAACTGTTATATTTGTTATGACTGTAAGAATTGTTGTATTTAAATTAATATAGCATACTATCAAATAATTAAAAGTAGATAAAATAAAAGAAATAAACGAGATGTTGGAGAAATTTGTTTTTAAGTTGTACATTTTCCATAAGCAGTGCCAAACTTTGGAAAGAATTACACATAAACATCAGATAGTGTACGTACCTGACTTGTATGTTCAGATAATCATATCAGTAGAACCATGCATGTATCAAAGTTTAAATATGGTTAGAAAGAGAGGAGATGCTGAGGGGCAACCTCATCAATTTGAGATGGGGCATCAAATTTAGGAGTCAAATTAAAATTTGTTGTACAAGCTGCCCTTCACAAGCTGGTGTGAATATGGATATAGTAGAATAAAAGTTTACTTCGCCTGTTTTTACATATTTAAAATGGATCCATGTTTTAATATAAGCAAGACCAGAGTAGAATAAAAACTTTTTTCATTGGATTTTGCATAATTTAAAATGTCTTCCTTTCTCACATTTCTCTGTACTAGGCTTTATACATAGAGTCTTGATTACTACAATACCTCTGCACGCTATTGCATAGCTATAGCTATTCTGATAATGTAGTGCTTTAAAATTGAATGAAATAATAATAATGATCTAATGAAGAAATCTGAGAGGGAGAGTGAACGTTATAATGACTATGATATCTCTGAAAAAGCAGATTGTTGAAATCATCGGTATTGAAACAAAAGATAGTTTTATGTCAACGCAATTTCTTCGTATATTTCAGATATAAAAGAAGGTAACTTGAAGGCCATATTAGGATTGTTTTTTAGTTTATCAAGATACAAACAACAACAGAAAACACAGCAAGCGGCACAGAAATCGGCCGAACAATCTCAAGTTAACCAACCGCCTTCCACCACCCCTCAACAACAACATCATGTAGATAGTGCTACTTCTTGTCATGCTGGACATACACCACCTCAATTAAATGGAGGGGAAGTCCAATCAAGGTAGGTCGTGGGACTCCTGTTTTAATCTTTGAATGTATTGCTGAAAATTAGGTTGTCTTTTGTGATAAGGCGTTGACTCACTAGCCAGGTCTCTGATACAATAGAGGTGTTAGTCAGTAATGTTCCTCCAGCATTTTCAGCAGAGGGCCTTGCAGGGAATAATGGCTTATCGTTCGGAAGGGATAGAAAACTGAGAGCAGTTGGAATTTGATGAAGATAAGTCGCCAGTTTTCTCTCTTAGCACATTGTATTAGCTTGGTTGGTTCAGAAAAGTAGGACGTTAAACCCTATTTCATTTTATTTCCTTTGTTCTGATGCAAGCAATGCGTTTATTTAATGTCAAATACGTAAAAAAAAAAGTTTCTCTTTACAAAACCGTGGAATTCTAATTAAAAAATTCCATTAAGATATATCTACACAAAATTGTTTGCTGGCAGCTCCTATTTGTTAATGTGTTAAAGAATGTTACCAGATGAAGGATAAGTCATGAAGCTTTTTATGTAGATGTCAAATGGGTTTTATCATGTCCTTATGGCAGTCGATGAAATACAACATCTTTAACCCCATGCCAAAGCAATAAATGATTACCACATCGCTTATCATTACAACATTTCAAAATGTCTTCCCACCCAAACTCTATAACAAAAGTTGAATTCTTTAGCAAAAAAACTTTTTCAATTTTCTTATCTAGTAGGTTGAACCATTAAAATGTCTTTGTCTTTGCTCAACTGTCTGATGAATTCCAAGATTAGCATTTGACAAATTTCCCAAATGGACACAAATTTTCTACTTTTAGAATTTAAAAAACCATTAAGTTGTGCCATTAAGATGTAGAATACTACAGTCTAGAGCAGACTAATTGTCATAACATTAATTCCAGGAATTTGTTCATTAAGTCTGCAGCAAACCTTAACAAATTTCTGAACTTTTTTGTTGAATATGTTTTTTGTTTTTTTTTATAAAAAAACAAACCAGTAGCAATTTAATTAATTTGAAAGAATTATTTCCTGAATGAAGTTTGACAGTGGCTTTAATTTGTTTAGATTGCTTTTAGTGAAAATTCTTTGAGGTGCATCAGGAAAATTTACAGGAGAATAAGGAGAAGATGAAAAGAAGGCTATAGGAACCCTCATAGTTTTAATTTAAAAATTAATTAGTATATTTGAAGATCTGGAGCAATTGTTCAACACAGTAATGGTTCATCTATTTTGGGTATTAAAAATGTTTTTATTGAATTTAGTTCAAATTTAGTTGATGTTAAAAAAAAAATCCCACCCCTGAGGCCCCCACCTGGATTCGCCGCTGGCGAAGAGGTTGATATTCTCGATACCCACTAAACTTCACGTCGTCAATGAAATAATTTAGGATTAGATAATTCTTCAAAGTGGTTTTAATAATTGTGAGCTGTGTTGGCTCAGTGAGTAAGAATCTGGCCCGCTAGTTTGGAGGTCTCAGGTTCGCTCCTGATATTGGTCGAGAAAATTCTTCTGGATTTCCTGGCGTGATTTTCACATGTCAGTGTTGCAGGATGGAGGTCCTGACAAGGACAGCTGTCTAGTTGTTCATGGGACAAAAATCAGAGGATTCGTGTACACATTGGCATGGACATAAAAGAATCCCTGACAGTTGTAATTCTGTATAAGAGTAAGTTGTAGTGTGCTGTCCTGGCAAAATTTCCCTCAAAGCTCTCTGCATGGCGTATGCCCGTCTTTATTAGCCCCGCCGGTGAAGAAAAGTAGGACGTTAAACCCAATATCTTTTCGTTTGGTTTAAAAATGACCTAGTTTAGAGGGTGATGTTACAATAACCCATTTTATTTCACAAGTCTAAATAAAATGTAAAAACTAAACTAACTTAAGGGTTTAAGCTCAAAAAACTCAATTTATCTTGTTTCTCTTCTGTAATATTTTTTTTATAGAAATACAATTCTTGACAAATTGATTTGATGGAAGGATGTTTTTAAATCTTTTGAAACCAAAATCAATCAGTTTCTCAACCATAGATATCTTTGAATACCTCACGAGCACAAACTATTTTTTTTTCACTTTTTGAAAGTCAATATTCCTGGATGGTTTTATGAAAGGTTATGTAAGAGTTACATTCTTCAGAAATGAAATATTTTTATTACAAATTGGGGTGTTTGATAAAATCAGAATCCATTGATCTTGGTGCCTTAATAGTTAATGTCCTCCACGTCACTGTTTGCTCAGATATGAAATAATAAATTCGTAGATAAAATCAATGAATGGCATGACAGGGAATGAATTTTATGTTTTGATCAAAAATACATATCTTATTATTGGTAGTGTTAGTGTGACGGCCATTAAAGTAATGAGTTAATGTAACAAACTGTCGTTAAGACTGTCTTTATAGCTTTTATTTGGGTTGATTGAGTTGAATATTTGGGTCCTTACAGTGCATTAATTAAGATTCCTTAGAAATAGGAAGTTTATGCAGTCTACTTTCCTTGTATATTGACTTATCTTCATTGAGTGGCATTTAGCAATTAATAACATAGGGCGTTTATAAAATCCATTTCATCACTATTTTAATTAAAGTGATGTTTCATTGAGGGTCCTCTCAATGTTATCAAGCAAATAAAGATGAATATAGTATATATATATATTGACTTCTGTTGATTGGGGGGGGGGGGGAATCAAGTGGTCTAAATTAGATCATAAGTTTTGTCATAGAAGAAGGTGACCTGGGTGAGAGGCATGGCATCGAACAGTGTCTAGTCGTTTGACAGGGCAAAAAACAGAGGTCCTGTGTGCATTTTGCTGTACATATAAAAAAAAATGGCAGTTGGACTTCAAAGAAGGATAGTCGGAAAATATTGATATTTCAGAACAATTTCCCTTATAGCACACACACACACACTAGTTGGTGCAGAAAAGTAGGATGATAAACCCCATTTTATTTTTATAGAATAGACTCGAATCATGCGGGTTTTGTTGCACTAATTTGCAATTTTATGTTATAAAATCTGCTTTTATATCACCTTATTCAGTTATCTATTCCGATTGCTATTCTCTGGATTTTATTTCGTCTGAAATGGGGGAATAAATCTTTCAAAATAGTGACATCTGTGAAATTTATTTTATGATTAAATTAGAATAATGCCAAATTCCATTGGTGATCAGCGGCCATATCTCATCTACCAAACAGAAACATCTGGAACTGGTAATAACCTTTCTGAAATAATGAAAAAAATAAAATGGTAAAGCTCATTCATCACGAATTATGATAGACAGAAGAGGTTCAAGATTACCAAACAGTATCATTTGTATTAAAATCCAAGCATGTATGAGTAATATTGGTATTTTGTCCAGTTCTATAAATTTTATTCATATCTTTCAAAATTATACCACTGTCTGAAAGAGTAGCTCTAAATGCCTTGATCTAAATGCATAATATTAAAAAAGTGAGGCTGGCTATTAGGTAGGAAATGAAAGGAAATGGCTTTAGGCAGAGTGTGCTATCAGAGACATTTTGCCTGGGCTTTGGCATGTAGACAGGACCTCTGTTTATTGTCCCATCTGAATGACTAGACGCTGTTCCTTGCCAGACACTTCATCAAGCATCACTGACAAGGGTGCAACCAAACTGAAGGAACTTTCTCATCCAGTACAAAAATAACATGAAATATTTTAATCTCGTGAAATTAAGTTAAATGAGGCATACTCACAGAAAAATTGAAATGATTATTCAAAAGCTTTCTAGCCTGTAGAGCTTATTTAGCTAAATCCCAATATGTTGGAAGCTAGAAATTAAATAGAGAAGTGTCAAAATGAAGCGTAGGAATTATCGATAATGAATGATCACTATGGTAGAGGTAGCATTCGTTATGTTCTCCGGGGAATTTGCGAAGAATAGGGTAATTTTGCCTCCTTTTCATAATCAATTATCATTGCCATATAGCGGAAAAAATCTACACTGAGTATAACATTAGGCAAATTAGTTTTCATCTGATGGAACTTGTGTGGTTTATTTGAGATAAATGTCCTGGAAGAAATAAAGAATATGACATCAAAGCTGGCTGCCAGAAACTTTCAGAAAAATGCATGAGGATTCTGTAAGGATAACCAGATAAATTCATCAAAGATCCTGATAAATTTGCAATTAAAACATCCTGTGAGAATTTCAGTTAAATCTTAACTGCTTGCTCTAATCTTCTGATTATGACAGTTTCAGTGGGAATGAGGGTAAGACCCCCTTTCCTATTCTGATTCTGAGAATTGTGGGATAGATTGTAGTATTGTCTAACACATGGGCTTAAGATCGTAAGGTCTGTAATTGAGTCAAGGGGCATGGTTTTACGTGACAATGAGGGGATCATGTGGCTAAGTGGGTAAGACGCTGGCTCGCTAGTCTGTAGGTCGGGTGTTCAATCCCTGCATTGGACGAGAAAGTTCATTCAGATTTTCCGGTGTGGTTTCCCCTTGTCAGTGATGCAGGATGGAGGGCCTGACAAGGACAGCTGTCTAGTCATTTGGATAGGACGAAAAACCGATGTCCCGTGTACACATTGGCGTGCGTGTAAAAGATCCCTTGGCAGTTGGAATTCGATATAAGAGTAAGCCGTAGCACCGCTGCCTGGGAAAAATTTCTGTATGCAATATGCCTGTCTTCATTAGCCCAGGTTAGGAGCAGACCAGTAGGACGTTAAACCCCATTTCATTTCATTTCATTTCACGTGACAATGAAAAGGGTTGCCTGCTCAACCTTGTGGGTTCATCTGGGTCCTTGTTTCCTCCCATCATAAAATTATCACAAACTTAATCAGATAGATAAATGGTACTTACAAAGACAAAATATATCCAAGATGGTTACCAAATGAAATGTTCTGCACTGACTGGGCTAATGAAGAAGAAAGATGGCTACCTTGATTATTTCATATGGTTTTTCATAGTTTGAACAATATACAGAAAACTAAAGTTCAAAGTTATTCAATTTCATTACATCATCTTTCATTATTAACTTCAGAAGAAAAAAACCCAAGATGGCTACCATGCTTCTTTCACATGTTGTTTCAAAGGATGAATAATAATCCAGAAAACAAGACTTTCACAGATATTCCATTTTAATTATATTCTCTAATCAAAATTAAAAATTAATTAGTTTCTCATTTTAAGCTTCAGAAGAAAAAAATTCCTGAGCTGGTTGCTCATGAAGGCGGCTTAATTTTGCATAGTCAGTACTGATGAGTCATCTGTGTGCCTGGTTTCTTGCTCAGTTATTTAATCTGGACAATTTTAATACTTGCATGAGTTAAAAGCTTGGGAAAAGAATCTCTTAATTTTCTCACTCTAACAGGAGTCTAATATGCTAAGTACATGTGTTAATGCTACATGGAACTTTGCATGGAAAGAAAGAGAAAGGGCAGAATCAAAGCCTCTATTGCTTCGGGTTCAAGTTTTATTTGGTCTTTATTGATAGTCTAAAGTGGTATCAAAGTTTTAATGTCACAAGGCAGTGTATTGGCCGGAAAAGGTTTAAGTATTTGAGAATTATTCATGCATGTTTTTTTCTACAAATTTTACATTTATTGAGGCTCAAAATGATGCTTGATGTTGACACTGGCAAAAAATATATTGTTGGAAGGTTTTTAAAACTCTCTGTCACAGTATATCAGTCACTCAGTGACAAATTATATGATGTTGATGAGTCCATTGAGATCATTGCTTCATTGTAGGACAGAGGGACTGACAAGGACAGCATCTACTTATTTGCATCGGCCACAATAACCTAAGGTCCTGTACGTGTAACTTTAGTGTGCAAGTATGGTAAAAGAATTCTTGACAGTTAGAAATAGAAATAAGAAAAATGAAATAAAATGGAGTTTAACTTCCTACTGGGCTAATGAAGAGTGGCATACGCCATGCAGTGTGCTTTGAGGGAAATTTTGCCCGGACAGCAGTACTATGGCCAAATAGAAATAAGAAAAATGAAATAAAATGGAGTTTAACTTCCTACTGTTCTGCTCCGACTGGGCTAATGAAGAGTGGCATACGCCATGCAGTGTGCTTTGAGGGAAATTTTGCCCGGACAGCAGTACTATAGCCCACTCTTATATCGAATTCCAACTGCCAATTTATCTTTTATGTGCATGTAAATGTGTACAAGGGACTTCAGTTTTTCATCCCATAGACCTTGTCAGATCCTCTGTCCTGCACCACTGACGAGCGGAAACCATGCCAGAAAATCCTGGTGAACTTTCTTGGCGAACCCGCGACCTCCAATCTACCGAGCTAGCGCCTTACCCACTTAGAATAGAAACAAGAGTAGGCAACTGTCCGCTGCATAGAGTATGCCAGTCTTCATTATCTGACTTGGTGCAGGACAGTAGGATGTTAAACCCCATTTCATTTTATTGCCTTGTTATTGCTCTATCGTTTTCTCTGTACTCATGAAGCTTCTTTCCATTAGATCTTGAATCGCGCATGTTATTTTCTTTTGGTTGCGTGTTAAATTATACTTTTAGTTGCACTTAACTTCTGTTTTAAAGCAGTCAGAGAATCTTTTCTCAATGAACCACTTGGTTCTGTTCTGACTCATTTTCGTTGGGGAAATTACAAAAAGAAAATAAAATAAAATTGTTATTATTAGTAGTGAGATGTTGTAAAAGTGTTAAACCGTCACTCACATCATTCACAGCAGATAATTACCGAGATATTGGAAGTGCTCAAAGATTCGGAAAGCTGGACTAAAAGGATATGAAATTACCCGCGTATGAATTCAATCGTAAAATTTTGATTAATGATGAAAAGTGACGACCCTGCTGTGTGTTATTGATTGGATACCTAATCGTTCTTTTTATCGAGATCTTTCAAACGAAATTCTTTCCAGTATCCATTCCGTGACTTTACAGTATGCTAACATAGCGTACATGATTTAATTGATGAATTCACATGATGATTATATACATGTACGTTCGGATCGTTTTTGATTGATTTTCATACACATCAGATCACAGCCTACTGAAGAAATTTAATTTTGCACCTTTCTCTCTCTCTCCTCTTCCCCCCCCCCCTCCTCAAATCAAATGTATCAAAAACCTGTATCTCTATATTCTGTCAGTGTGCAATGTTAGATGAATTGTTCCATCAGGAAGACTATTTTCATACACAGCAGAGGTAACAGCCTAATGAGAAAATTTTGTACTTCTTTCTCTGTATCTTCCTGCCCCCCCCCCCCACCACACACCCACACATACACACACCCACACCCACACACACCCCCACACACACACACCCACACACACACACACAATCATTCTACCAAAACGGGGCCATGTAAAACAATAAGGTGCAGTGTTAGATGAGTTGCTCAATCACCAAGACTTTTTAGAAAAAAAAGCATTAATAAATCAAGTTATATAAAATATTTGCCAAACAAATGTTTGAAACAGTCAAGAATATTTATTTTTATCAAATATTTTCTATTTCACCTCAAATCCCTACTCAATTTGGCATGCTTACAAATTTGATTTACAAAATTGAGTGATTACTGGTATTGCAGGAAGTGTTTTCAATGAAGTATGAGTATAATCTATGTGTATGTAATAAAAAAAAATATTGTAAATATCTTTTAGCCAATTTGTGTAGTTGCAGATAATCTGACAATTTCAGGTGGTTTCATGTATTTGTTGATAATAGTTTGTTACCTATATGTAGAAGCTTTATATATACACACCTAGACCATGTAGATAACAACACTTGAATACCAGACATTAAGATTACAATATTACCTTTCTTTTGGCATGGAAATAAAAGAAAAAAACAACATTTTCTCTGATAATGAAAGCCACATAAAAGCAAGAATGAAAAAGGTAGTAACTGAAACCTGTAAGGTGGTTGGCATGGCATACATTCTTTTATTGGTAATTTCCATGGTAGATGGTTGAGTTGGGACATGGTTGAAATTATGCTCTTACAGATATAGAAACTAAGTTAGCTTTATTTAACAGAATTTGATGCCTTGTCTAGAGTTAAGCTGATTAAATGAATTTCAGTGATATATTTGCAAGGATTCCCAGGAGATTTGGTGTACTTAATTCTTGGTTGATGTTAGACTCGAGTTGACGTTATGTTTTGTTTCAGTCATTTGATTTTTGAAATCACTATTGAGAGCTCAAATTTTAACTTGGAACTTGTATAAAAATGATCATGAATGTCAGTAGGAAATAGACAAGAAACCCATAATTGACTTCATGACTGACAAATCTTTTATGTCTATATTAAATCATTGATTAATTCTTTTTTCTGATGTTTTCTTGCAGATTGCCATCACCATTTAAGAATAACAAAAACACCTCAGTACATAACCCCAGTGCCAAAGATACCACCTCATCATCATCATCTGTGAATAATGCTAATTTATCGTTACGAAGTAAATCTCATGGTGCCCACTCTACCTCAAATGATAAAGCCAAGTCGCAGCAGAACCAGCAGAATAATATTTTACAAGTCTCTTCATCAAGTAAGTCTTTGTACATTTATTGTTTAAATAAACCATTATAAGATATTATCCCTGTCGTTTACAAATCACCATATTTGCATAGGTCCTTACTATCTATCCATCTCCCTCATCCTATTATGTGCTTAAAATTGTTACTGTCAGTTTATTCTTGAGGAAAGGTTAACCACTTTCTGAATAGGTTAAAGAGAGCAGGAGTGGCAAAACTTTAATTCCAAGTGGTACATTGAACCATTCCAAGTCCAAGTGGCATATTGGACCATTCCAAGTGGCACAATCAACCATGTCATGTGACTCATTGAACCATTCCAAGTGGTACATTGAACGATTCTAAGTGACACAATCAACCATTTCAAGTAGCGCATTGGATCTTTCCAAGTTGTACATTGAACCATTCCAAGTGGCACAATCAACCATTTCAAGTGGCGTATTTAATCATTCCAAGTGGTACATTTAACCATTCCAAGTGGCACAATCAACCATTTCAAGTGGCATATTTAACCATTCCAAGTGGTACATTTAACCATTCCAAGTGGCACAATCAACCATTTCAAGTGGCATATTTAACCATTCCAAGTGGTACATTTAACCATTCCAAGTGGCACAATCAACCATTCCATGTGGCACATTGAACCATTCCAAGTGGCACATTACCCCTCATGATAATGATAATCTAAAATAAAAGATATGACTCACAATATCAACCGCTCATTAAGGTAAATAATGTTTAATTGAATTTTTGTGGCACATCTGAAGATGTAGGGATGCCATTTGGTCCCTGCTGCAGAGCATTAAATTAAAGGGGAAGACCAACGATTTTCAATAAGGTTTCCATAAATAATAAATATATATTTAGAAATAATCCCTCCTATAACATATGCAAAAAATAATTTGCAAGCGAGAAATTAATTTTTATTAATACCGGAAGTGACGTAGTTGGTTCGACACGCTCACTGGTCACTATAGTAAACATACAAGTTTGGAGCAAGTTTAGCGCTGTATTTTGTGATCGTTTCGCCGTTTGGCAGAAAATCTGATGAAAGGTAATCTTTATTAGGATATTAAGAACAAGAACTTACGGTGTTTTGAAGGTATAATATACAACGCGTTTGTGTAAATTAAGTTTCTAAACTGGACACTGTGACACAATTTAAGCCACATGGCTAATTGTTTACATCACGTGATAGCTGGCACGTGACAGATATTAACCGAACACAAATTGGCGACCTATTCGGCTAGCGACCTATTCGACCGATCCAGCTGGCAACCTGTTCGTTGGCAACCTATTCAGAATAAATTCAACAGTCGCCCAAACTCATCTATTTTTATCAACCAATAAAATCCAACATAACGTCTATCAAATGAAAGTAGAATATATTATCATTTATCCATTCCTTTAGCTCATTAAATAAGCTTTCGAAATATTATTAGTAAAAGTTGGCACAATCATATTAAAGGGGTGCGCTCTCATTCTGAATAGGTTGCCAACGAACAGGTTGCCATTGAAAATTGAAAATCGTTGGTCTTCCCCTTTAATACTATCAATATGAAAATAATGCCAGTGTATCTATCATTCCCGAATCCATTCCATGCCACATTTTATTCTTGCAGAAAAGGTTTCAGACAATTCCTAATTATCAGGTTTTATAAAATTGATGCCACAGTTTAGTCCAACAATTTACATGATTTACAATAATTTTTTAAGGCAAAAAGGTTTTCCTTTTCAGCATTAATGTTTTTTTTTAGATCTACACAGATCTCATTTATGTAAATTTAGTGCCCCGTTTGAGCAATCAGGGAAATTAGAGAAGGTAATTCCCTGCACTAATTTGTTGAATCATATTACAACACTGTAGGCAAACCATTTAATTGTTTCTTTTCAAAACACAGCAGTCACTTTATTGCAAATGGCTACACATTTAATGTAAATTTTCCTTGGTAACATGAAAGCCTTGAGCAAAGTGTAACCAAGGACACAAGAGTGGGTTTATAGGCTCAAAGACATGGGGAAATTGATTGTTTTGAGATTAACAGTGCTGTTGATGAATTTACTTAAAGCTTGTTTACAAGACAGGTGTGATATTTGCTCTGATGTTGTAGTTATTTGTTCATCAATCGGTCTGTGTGTTGGTGCTAAGCATTGACTTTCCATTATTGGTGTCTAGCGTTCCTGTGTCAATCCTTTACGGATTTGATCAATTCAGTTTCACTTTCCAATGTTTTGATAGATGAAGTTATAAATCAATGTGGATCTAATGCTTTCTTGAATGTTCCAGATTTTCTGTTGAGGGTGGGTGGATGGTTTAACGTGTAAGTTTTAAATCGTCAAGTCTATCATTGAGTCAAGTGATGTGGTTACGACCCCACACTTGAACCTGACATGGAGTAAGGTCGTCTGCCCAAACTTGCAGGTTTTCTTCAGGTCTTTCGGTTTCCTCACACTGCTAAAGCAGTAAAATTATACCATATGTTAGTCCCGAAATGATCTAGTTTGTGTCAAGTGGGGGTTAACACTGTTATCTCTATCTCTCTTTCCTGTTGAAAGTTCAGGAAGAAATTAAGTATATAAAAGGATGTCAAAGAATTTTTTTATCAGAACACTGTCATAATAAAAACCTGGTTCATATCTGTGGTCTGTTTTATTAATTACAGGGTGTCTCTTCTCAACTGAAGGTACATTTCTATAATTCATTTCATTTGTTTAAGTTATGTTTTTAATGTTTAAGTCATAAACTGATGGACCCCTCCCTGTCTCTTAAATAGAATTCCAGAATTTTTTTCCATTCTTTTAAAATCTTCAACTTCTTTGACCTTGCATTGTATAGTGCCTGAAATTCCTGGAATTCAGAAGAAATATATGTATTTTTTGAGGTCAAAACACTTTCCCTTTTGACAAAACCTCTACTAAATATAAACACATGTTTTTCGGTGATAAACCACTTTTATTAAAAGAAATATTTTATGGTCATTTGAGAAAGCACAGGAAACTGTTGCATTTCATCATTTCATCAATTTTTTTTATTATCATGGGTTTTGTTCTGTAAATTTTGAAGGAATTTGATAATCTATGGCACATGTAAAAATAAAAAACCCATTCAAATTGGAATATTTTTATTCTTTGAAATTATTTTGGGATTCAAGATGTCCATACTGGTAGTCAATTTTTTAGATGACTTTGTTTTATGAAAATTTTTGATATAATAGTTTTTATTAGAGATTTTAGTCTGAATCATTTCATAAACCAGATTTTTTTTTTATATTTTCTTTATGGAAGAAATAGTAGAGATTTCTAAAATCAGATTTGTAACAAAACACTATAGGAGGTTTTTACGGCAGTTCCGTTACTTGAACAATGGGAAAATTGATTTTAGCTCAGTAAAATTTAAAATATCAGAGTTTATGTCTGGAACATAAAACTTGTATTTAAAAGAAATACCAATAAGACTTTAACCTCCAGCAGTATTTGTCTACTTTTAATGTTAAATTATTTGTTTTGAAGAAAAAATAATTGTTTAAAGATCAAGGCCGTGTAAAATGTAATGTTAATGTTGAAGTTTGTTATAATGTCAGATGTGTAAATTTCTGTATGGGTTCTGGTTGTAAAGGGAGCTGCAGTGGCTAAGTTGGCAGTTTGTTAAGTAAAAGGTCCTGGGTTCAATCCCAGTGTTGACTGAGAAAGTGTGGTACGTTTCCCTTGTCACAATGCAGGTGGTAGGGCCTGATACAATCTGATTAAAACACAGATTCTATTTCATTTCAATTTTTATAGTTCAAAATTTTGTTTTACTTGTCTTTACTACACTAGGATCTGGAAGAGTTGTTATATAACCTGCGTTCTGGATGATGTGAGGGATTAATTAATGAAACTGTCTGTTACAGCAAATTTTTGGTGCTAGGTGCACAGAACTATGGGTAACCCAGTAGAAACATCGCTGATTGGTTAATCAAATATCTGATGTCATAGGGTCAAAAGCAGCTTGTATGACCTCTGACGTGACCTTCCTTTCATGTAGTGTAGGCCATCGAAAGTATAAAAATAACGAAATGAAATATATATCTGTATTTTAATCAGATTGGGTATGAGAAGGAGTGGTGTCTAATCGTTAAGATGGGATGGAAAACCATGTTGAAATTCAAAATATGTGTAGGCTGGACCCATCACTGTTTAGGCAAAATTTCCCTCATAGTATACTGAATGATGTATGACCGACTTTATCTAACTTGGTTTTGCAGAAAAATAGGAAGTTAAACCCCATTTCATTTCACGACATTGCTGGTTGTAGGAAATGTACATGCAAGTGGTTTACATTTTGGCTGAAAATCTGGAGATGGAAATTCTACATTATCAATGTTTTAAATCTAGTCTTTTATCAGTACTGAACTCTTGTCATGTCGAAATAGTACAGAAATTAATGGAGGAATAATTGTGAAGATTAAAAACATTTCAGAAAATTGAGTTGACCTCTTCTAAAGGTTAAACATGCATGTTTTAAAACTACTTAAACACTCTGATAAGCAAAAGAAATGCTAAAGTCATTTTTTTATCTAAAAATTGAAAATGTTTTTGATAAAATAAACATCACTCTGTCAGCCGTTTAGAAAACTATTTCGATTGAGTGATTAGTGATCTTCAAGCCTCCAAAGGTCAATCTGTTTATCATTTAATTTAAGAAGCTAGATGATAAGAAAGATTAGATTAAGATAATATGATTGGATAAAATAGTTATACTATAGTTTTGTACTTGATCATGGATTAAAACCACTGTCTCTTCAGTGGGCCTATTCTGGTCAGGACTGAGTCTGGTCATGGACCTTATCAACTGGTTTCCACAACTTAAAGTTTTGTTAAATGATTCCATGTTCAAACTGAGAACTGTTCCTTTTTTGTAGCATAAGTTGTGAGACTCATGGGTTTAACCTTTTTCGTAATAATTAATAGATGAAGATAAATTACTGGTCAATTTATATTTTTAGACATTGCCATGACTATTTCTGTTTTCTTT